TATGTTTTGCTTGTAGCAGGACATTCACAAAGAGCAACAGGGAAAGCATACGCTGAGCCGTCAGAATGGGATGTCTTGATGCTTGTGCTAAACCGACACCGGCGGGGTGAGGAACACACACGTGGTTAATTCAGGTGGTCATGAGGATGGACCAACCTCTCTGAATAGTTCAAGTCTGCTTTTAAAACGGCCTTCATGGCTTATACGCAGTGTGGAGTAATGCCATTATCTACAAGAATTATACCTTAATTTAAAATTTTGTCTCAAATAAGCATTGTAGTCATTACTTATAAATTTGATACAAAATTAAATTTTAATTTTTGATGGTAATTTAAACATTGGTGCAAGTAGTTTTGAAGAAGGAGCATGGAGGAAATTTTTTATGCAAACTCTTCTTTTCCAGGAAGCAAAAGTCTAATTTTGGTAATGAATCCCAAACACCTATACCTACATTCGTACGTAAATCCTATATGATGTTGTGCCAGGAACTGATAATTTTAAGATTAAGCTTTTGAAATACAAATTTACCCACACTTTTTTGGGTTCAATTTTTTTATATAAAAATTAAGACTTGCATAAAAATTTATTAATTTGTAAAGATATTTTATGAAAGAATACTACTTAAAATAGTATAATATATAATCTTGTATAATTTAAAATATAGTAATATGGTATCTAATATACATAATAAATTGTGTTTATGTAACTATTAGAACATCTGTTCTAATATTTTGCCTGTGACCTGCCTCTCAGCATCACTCAAACCACTACAGTCAACAGTAAGTTTAATTGAAGTATCTGTAAGATCCTCGTTAAACGTGTACCGTGACGTCTCAGGCACTTACCAAGCACGCTTGAATGTGGGACCTACCTTGACTTACTCTGTCTGGAATGTCCTCTCATTAGGATTTTCAGCAAAGATCAGCCTGGAGTAACTGACGGTGTTGCAGTCACATGATTTACTAGTAATTATTCCAACAAGAGTGCATACTGATACCGCGCCAGGACTTTAAAAGGCCCCTGGAGATCTGGAAGGGAAAAATTTTAAGGAGGACACATAAAACTATCACTTAAAATCTGTAGAGGGAGTCTTTATTTGCCATATTTTCAGTTCAAAAACAAGACATTTTTCTATTCAACCCCGGCAGGGCTGAAGTCTTGGAAGCCCTTTAGCTCATTGTATGTGCATATCCTGGCATGCTGGCCAAGATAAGAAAGCTCCAAGGTCCGGAATCCAGGGAAGTTTACTGGAGAAGGCAGATGGTTATTGATTCCTGAGCAAAACGCCGTGTGTGTATCTGGGCTCCAGGATGAGGCGTCTGTTTTAGAACAGCTTCCTGCAGGCCCACTGGGGCCATCAACTTCGTAAAATGAGGCCAGTGGTATTTCTGGAGCTTCGTGTGGTCAAAACTTGATAACAGAGGTTAATTTCCACCAAACGAAATGGGTTGGAGTTTTTGGACATTAAACCTGGATTCAAAGAAATAGCTGTGGGTGTCTTGCCTGCTCTTGGGTGGAAGCTCAGTGGTGCTGGGGAGGTTGTTTTGCTCCTGGCCGTGCCCTTCTCTGCTGTTTCGCTCCCTCCTTCAGTATTGAAACAATGACACACTTGCTGCGTCATAAGCGAATGACAGGCTGTAAATGTCCAGCAGGACAGTCAGATGGAAAGCAGCCCTCTTCAGGATGGAATCAGTAGGCTCAGCATTGCGCTAGCAGAGCACAAAACACCCCTCGGCAGGGGAGATGAAAGCAGTTTCTGTAAGAGGGAACTGGCAACCCTAAAAGTTTTAGTGTTGAATAACCAAGAAGACACTCACAGGTGTCTGTGGGTCTGTGGGTCTGTGGAGCAGAAGCTTCTATGTGTTCTTCCCTCTTTCCTTCTTCCCACTCCAGTTTTCTAGGATGTAGTCGCTGGAGAGCTTACTAGAAATGCAGATGGTTTTAAAACTAGTGCCAAAGATGAACTATTTATTTTTTTAAAGCTCTCTTATGCAACGTGTTTTAGTTTTGACTGGGGCGAGAGAAAAGGGTGTGAGAACCGCCTCAGGTCCTTCATTCCTGGGGCTGCCACGTGAGTCGTGGGTGTGGTGCCTTTACTCGTGACCCCGTGGCCACACGTGGTTCTGCCATCTATCTGCTCTGGCATCTGAGCTGGGAGAGGATGACTGATATCCCAGGCTCCTCCATGGAATTACTGACTGCCTTTATTGGCTGGGCTCCCCGGGGCTGCCAGGAGTGGCAGGAAGCTCTGTAAATGAAGAGGGCAAGTCATTGGACATAAGATTCATGACTTAAGACTGGAAGGAGAGCTTCTTGTTTGCAAAGGGATCATTTTATGTGCAAATTTCTGGTTCTGTGTGTTTAATTCGTCTTTGTCATGTGGTTGCCATTGTCATCACGCCGTTTTTGGTGAGCATCTCCCTCCTCTGCTGTCATATCTGCCTGGCTCTTCCCCTAAGAATCCTTCGCCTCCGTGGTGTCCCTTTTCAGTGCACTCAGTGAAACCCACCCCTGCCCTCCAATCCTCAGGTACTTTCCCATCCAGCAGACTCATTTCCTGAACTTTCCTTCCCCAAACACCACCCACATCTGCGATCCTACCAAGCCGTTCAGTGGGGAGTTGTTCTCCAGCTGAACTATCTATGTTATCCTTGGTCTCCAGTCTAGAACACAAGTTTCTTGATAGCCGGGGCTGAGGGTAGAGGTGGTCAGGAGACTAACTTTTCCCCTTCTGTATTATTTGAGACATCTTTACATTGTGCATGTAAAACCTATTAATATACTTAAAAAAATGCCTTTCCCTTCCAGGTTTCATATATTATAAAACATAAGCAAAACAAACAAAAAATACATATGGATTCAGTA